TTTTTGTATCATAGATGAATCATTTGAATGGCGTATTTTTGTCATATTTTCTTGATTTTCAAGCATCCATATGGATAATGCAGCGAGAAGACCATTGTGGAAGAACAGTAAATAACTCAATAATGCATAGAACAATTGAAAGCAATGAACAATCATAGAACCCAATTTCGGCAAGAAGACCACCTTTTGCCTACACCTTGAGAGTTCGGATTCACACAAACATGTCTTCTTAATAGATATTCTCCTACCTACGGTTACATTTTATTGGTTTGATCATATTTTGCACTTGCCTGTGGTTAAGATTGCATTGAAACAATTGAAAATATCAGGCGAACTATTATGGAGAAGGTGGATCCTCATTATTTGATACTATTGCAATAAAATACATATAATTTAACAATTGGAAGGCAAGGAGGGGTGTCACTAATTGTTTTTTAATCCTCTACTAGTACCCAATTCATGCTTTATCTGATACCTAATGACATCAATAGCAACATCTATATTCTCTTGTGCATGAAAAGTGCTTTCTTGTATTTTTAGGGCACTGTTGTGTTGGTTTTCCAACCAGCAGAGGAGGGAGGTGGCGGAGCGAAGAAAATGCTTGACGTTGGGATATTGGAGAATGTTGAGGCGATTTTTGGATTGCATGTATCTTCTAGTTATCCAGTTGGCATGGTTGCCACAAGGCCTGGCCCCATTATGGCTGGCAGTGGTTTATTCGATGCGGTAATTACAGGGAAAGGAGGTCATGCGGCCATTCCACAAAATACTCTCGACCCCATTTTAGCCGCTTCAAACATAATTGTTAGTTTACAACATCTTATCTCTCGGGAAGCTGATCCCTTGGATTCACAGGTACTTGTATGCACTTGGCAATTTATGGAAGTTTCATTTCTAAAGCTAAAACTTATCGGTTAATGGAACATCGACTATCATATTAAAACAGAAATTAGATCATAAGTTTCCATTGTTCAATGTTTGCATAAATATATAACTTTTATAATATAGAAGTTAGTCAGGAATTTCGGGAAAATTTTCGGTGTTGACACTATTTACTATTGAAATGATTGCGTCCTCATAGTACGAAGTGGATCCTTTAACTTGTTATGCACTTTCCATAGACCTCCTCAGAATACTACTGTGACTTATAAAGATGACCAGTTATTTTGTTCACCCTTAAAGCTGGCCCCTACTGAATTTATTTTTCTAAGAATAATGTTATTCAGCTCGCTGGTGCCTAGCAACCATGTAGCTGTCAATCAGTTGATTGAACACTTAAATATGATTCATATCTCTTCATTTAAGATGTCCAATCATTTAAGCACACTTTGGTGCTTAGCATCAGTAGCATTACTCTGTTTCTAACATTTAAAGATGAGAATTGATGATCTGGCAGGTAGTCACTGTTACTAAATTTCAAGGTGGTGGTGCATTTAATGTTATTCCCAATGCAGTCACAATTGGTGGAACTTTTAGAGCATTTTCTAAAGAAAGTTTTATACAACTCAAACAACGCATCGAAGAGGTAAATTTTTCGATTTTGTTTATTTTGGAGTTTTGTTGACTCCATTATTTATATTAACTTCAAGTTGTTGTTCTCTTAACTACTCGTCCATTTTATATATTTCACATGCAAAGAGAAGTATCATTGCTTGTAAATCTGTTGGTATTTGTTATTCACGTTACTTTGGCTTATAACTGTGGGGGGAAATTGCACCATTGGTACTTAATCTATTACTTTATTAGCAAAGTTGGCCCCCAACCTTTTAAAAGCAATCAATTTGGTCCCTAACCATCTGTATCTATGTTAAATTGTCTCGTGACCCAACCTGACATGTTCTACGTTATGGAGCTAGATTTTGCTTCAAGGCTTGGGTTAGTGTCAACAAATTTGAAGTAAGACATGTTTCTACCAGGGTCATGCATCAAGTTAACAAAGATGTGGATAGTTTTGGGACCAATTTGGTGCTCGAACACTAATTGGAGGACATTGAAATGCAATTTTGCATTGTGGAAATTGATTCCCTGAAATGCAATTTACAGGTTATCACCCTACAAGCTTCTGTACAAAGGTGTAATGCAACTGTGATCTTTAACACCAATGAGAAGCCCTTCTACCCCGTGACCATGAATAACGTAGATTTGCACGGGCATTTCCTAGAAGTAGCTCGAAATATGCTCGGTGGCAAGAACATCATAGAGATGCAGCCGATTATGGGAGCAGAAGACTTCTCTTTCTTCGCTGAGGCAATTCCTGGATACTTCTACTATATTGGGATGATAAATGAGACTCGAGGACAAATGGAACCTGGCCATTCGCCGTACTTCAAAGTAAACGAAGATATACTTCCTTATGGTGCTGCTTTACATGCATCATTGGCTGTAACATATCTTCTTGAATATCATTCTCAATTGACAACACAGAAGGGAAGTTGTCATGATGAACTTTAAATTGTCAGACTTATAATTTTTTGGGACGACAATACTTGTTTGGTCTTTTTTTTTTTTTTTTTTTTTTTCGTCGTCTTCTTTTCGTCTAGATATCTTTCTTCCTAGATTGACTTTCTTGTTTGGAAAGATGGCTTCTTAAGTGGTACAGAAGGAAAATCTTGCAAATGGGATTTCCCCAAACAATTGTTGGAATTATAATTTTTTGGGATGATACATTAAAGCTTTCTGGTGCAAAACCGTGTACTAGACATGCTTACATGATTTAAATTTAAATTTAAATTTTCTTATTAGGTTCTATTGTTTAAATTTATTTTACTTTCTCAGTTTCTTATGAGAGCATATTGCTAAGCTTAAAGAGTTAACTTATAACTAAATAACTTTTTATAAAAATAAATTTTTTTAATTGTATTTGTAGCTCACCCCTTTTTTTTTTATTTAAACTAAAGTTGCAGATGAGTTTTAGAGCCCAATTAAAATGGGATTTGTTTAAAAACTAACTTACTAATATAAAAACTGCAAAAGCATATTTCCATTTTTATTTTATTTTTTTTTAAATGCAAGCCACCTACATACCTCATGAAAAATGTCGAAAATCCCAAATAAATTAGTACACATTCAACTTCAAACATAAAGATGGAACAATTTCGGTACCATAAGGAGAAAATTTCTGATACTTTTCGTAGTAAAAGAGTGCATAGTAACCATGAATTCAAATAGAAAAATGCATATAGTGAGCATCAGATTCCAAAATTAAATAACCCAAATGATGGTAAGGTAACTGTGTTCCACAATCAAAATACAAAACAGCAGCTTAGCGTAGTACTAACAACACTATAATCCATGTTTCTAAGAAAGCTATTGATGCCATCCAATTTACTTTGCGGATGAATTTGGTGACTTCTTCTTGCCAAAGCCAACAACTGCAAGCAGTAGTAGAAATGTAAAAGCTAAATTAGTATTTCAGCATCATTATATTTCCATACCACAAAAATTTTCGCATTCAATACATGAAAATTGCACGGAAGACGGACGAATATATTAAAGAGAAGACCAAACACAATCTGCTTAGCAAATTT